ACACAGTGATGGTTTTTAATAATTTTTATACCAAAGATGCTTTCAGTTATGAAAATTTTACATGACAATGTAAATTTGGTTTTTAATTAATTGTACTAGATATTAGCGACAATACTAATCAGATGTGATGAGTTTGTCCATCTCTGTTAGGCCATTTGAATGCTCGGCTTATCGGTTCTCTTGTGATTTTAAATACGTTTAGTCCGATCAGAGATTTTCTCTCCTGCCGATAGCTTCTGGGCTTGTGCATCGGCTTCTGAATTGTGCTGCCGTACGACGCGACGCGTTCCTCTGCCTTGTTGTTGTTTATTCTTTTACTTTTTTATTATTTTTTATTTTTTTTATTTTTTTTTACTTTTTCATCTTCTTTCGTCTTCTCTGTCCTTTTTTCTGAATCCATTATAATATTTATGAGAGTGGCAGCACTCGGTTATTCTTTCTGGTTATTACCATCTGGCTAACACATCCCAAGTTTCAGCGATCTCTCTTGCAGTTTCCTTTTATTGGGACGCAGACTAATATGATTTGTAGTGAGAGACGTAACGCGTTTTTATCATCGATTTTATGATCATTTCAAGCCTTAATTAATTGTTTTCTTTAGAGCGAAGGGAAAAAATTGTATCTTTAGAATTCCGTTCTCGGATCATCATTAGCAGTACGTTTTGTTTGTTATATTGCTGCAGGATTCATAAACACACACACACACCACACATATATTATATATATATATATATATAGATATAAAATTGGAGATGCTATATTATCTATACCCTTCAATAATCAGGGCTTATTTTATTATTATTTTGTATTCTGGTTTTTTCTGAACAGAACAATCAATCAATAGGCTGAATTAGGTGTCATAAAACTAGTTATAAATGGTATTTTTTCCTTGAGCAAGTTGCATCAACTTCTAAATGTGTAAATATTTGACTTAGTCAATTCAGATTTAGCAAACTTTTAAAACTGTGACGATACAGTTTTCAATTGTTTATTTCGAAATAAAGTTAACTTCAATTTCATTCATTCATTTCAATTTATTCAACACATTTCATTCTACTCACATGTTATAGAAATGTATTTTATTTAAGTGTGCACCTCAATGCACCAAAAGAGCACTTTTCATATCCTTGTAATATTTTTTTAGACTTTAGTTTCTTTTTTGACCATCAACTCCACGATACAATGTTTTATCAAATTCATCGAAGAAGAGATTTTCAAAATTAAATTACTGACTCTCCAATTTCTCTATAATTTATGAAATATATTACCAGAATTGCCAAAAGGCAATTTAGTTTATTTAAAGTATAGCAATTTATGCTTGTTTTGATATTTTTTTCAGAGATTAGTAAAATTATTAATACTCGATAAAAATCATTTGTATCACACATAAATGCGTTATTATTATATGATATTGATTATTGTATTCAAATAAATAAATATGATGATATGGTTATGTGGGTATGAATGAGTATATTTGCATACCTATACCCATATATCTATATATATCCCAGAACTTAACGTCAAGCCAAAACGAGGTGATAGTGTTGACTTCAACTGTCCTGAAAAAAATAGAAAAAAAATTTACGTTGCTTGGAAATCATGAGCTTTTAAGTACAACCTAGGGCTTTGGTGAAATTATGACCATTTTTTGGTGATTATGGTTAATTGTTATTAAATGTTTAAATTTGTTATTCATGTTTGTTTGAGTTGTTTAAATTCAACCGTCACCGTGCCCAACATTTCTAAGACCGTAGTAAAAAAATAATAACACAATTGCCTCTAAGTTTACAAGATTTTTTGTTGGACTGTGAATTTAATTATGTATTTTAAAAACGGTCGAGTTTGAGAGGCCCTCCATCAAAAAAATGTACTAAAGTCTGTTGACAAATTTCATCAAAAGTTAGCGCATTAAATCAGGATAATGAAATCGTTAAATACTTAAAAACTTTATTATTGAAAAATTTCGAGAAAAAAACAAAAACTTAAATATAACACTATAAAGACTAACGCATTTCGCTCATTTTCATTTCATATGTTTTTCTCTCGCACATTTAAGCTTGCGCTTATACCAGCGTTTCTCAAACTTATTTCTTCCAATGCCCTCTTTGAAGATCAAAATTTTTAGGGTCCTTCTATGAAATTTTTTTCTACCTATATTATCTCTAAAAAGACTTTTTTTAAAAATTTTAATAATATAGTTATAGTGTGCTGTATTACTTGCTGTAACCTTACATTCTAAATTAAAAAAAATTACCAGTGATGGCAAATAAAACGCTACTTAAAACAATGCTTACATTTAACAAAATTTAGTTAGAAGCCTCTTATTGCCCCCCTGGATATTACAATCATCCACCAGGGGGCGATATCGCCCACTTAGGAGACAGTTTGGCTTATACATAAATGTGAGATTATTGTGAGTAAGGGGCAAATTCTCTGATATAAATATATAAATAATAGACCGTAATATAGCGTTGTTATGGCAACGCTATGTTACGCTTCTTTCTTGGTACTAAAATCTGCCAAAATGCTATGTATTTGCTGTGCAGTCAAACGTTTTAGCATTTTGGCAGATTTTGGTTACAGTCTATTTCACAGGAGATTTGGCTTCTGAAATGCACTAGAAAAAATTATGTCATTTTTAGGTTTTCATTTTTTAAACCTACACCAAGGTTTATGTACCAAGTCGCATCTGGACTTGATACACTAGAAAGTCGTAAACTAAAGAAAGTGCTTTTAAGTTATCAACATGGATTTAATATATATATATATATATATATATCGATATTTATTCATTTTATCTTGTTATAAAGTGTTTGCGTCGAAATATGCGCACCCACACCGTTCTGATTATAAACCAGGCTAAGCCCTCTGGCGCGTCCGCAGCCTCCCACACTAGAAATCTGGTCTCCATAGTGCGTACGATTATTACTAAATAACCTTTAGATTTAATTTAAATTACTGGATACTGTATAATCCTGTTTTACCGATGAAAAGGTGATAAAGTAACATGCATTGCGATTTGCACATTCTGTTCAATGCTCAGATTTATAACTCATATTTATTATTTTTACCTATAGTACAACTAAATAAAACTAGATTTTATGTTTGTGATATTGAAATAGCTGTTTTTTAACACTTGCACATGAATATAATTAGGGCACATATATCAAATAAACTTCAATTCAATTACAAATCTTCAAAATTACAATTTTCCACCTTCACCTGTGGTTACAACATAAGGTAAGGCGGGGCACAAAAGTCCAATTTTTCATTAATTATGCTTAAGTCTGTACAACTATGAATATAGATTTAGTTTCGCATTTTATCGAGATTTAACATGTGCATTCAAAGTCCTTTAATCCGGCACCCAACTATTCAGAATACCCAATAGACCGGCATTTTTTCAATTTTTTTTCAAAACTGTGCCTTTATAGCGAATAAAAACGTAAGAGGGCTATTAGAACGTTCTCGGGGTAGTTCGGAATCATTCGGAAGGTAAATTCCGTTGTGTCTAGGTTCATGATCAAAGTATGTTCTACGAAATACGTAGCCTTTACTTTCTAAAAAGTATTCGGTTGTTCTTTTAAGTTAGTCTCCTGAACACAAAGGCACAGTGCGCATATATCAGCAGATTTAACCACCTGTGTAGTGACCATGTTTCCAAAACTTGAACAAGATTTAAGTTTTGTTTAGGAAAACATTAAAAATTAGTAGTTAATAGTACATTGTTGTATATTTAGTATATTACACCTAAACATATCTACTATGACGACAATTACTAAAATTGACAAATTTCGTACATTATTATCAGATTTTATTAAAAGTTCAAAAAAATTACTTGAGAGATAACTTATCATTCAGTTTATACAACAAGAAATTTAAGAGTCCTGTCTAAGAAATTATTAAAAATCAGTAGTTAATAGTAGATTGTTGTTTTTATTATGTTATACCCAAATATGTCTACTATGACAGCTAATGCTAAAACCAACAAATTTTGTACTTTAGTATCAGATTTTACTAAAAGTTCCAACAAAGTACCTAGGAGATTCAGTTTACACTACAAGAAATTTATGAGTCATGTTTGAAAAATTATTAAAAATCAGTAGTTAATAGTAGATTGTTGTGTTTTTAGTATGTTATTCCCAAATATAATATGTCTACTATGACAGCAAATGCTAAAATCAACAAATTTTGTACTAGTATCAGATTTTATTAAAAGTTCCAACCTAGGAGAGAACGTATTATTCTGTTCACCCGACAATAAATTTATTAGTATTGTTTGAAAAATTATTAAAAATCAGTAGTTAATAGTAGAATGTAGTAATTTTAGTATGTTATACCTAAACGTATCTGCTATGCCTTGTTATTCAGAAGAAGAGAAAGGAAAACACGTAACACTAATTTTCAATCAGAAACTAGAATTCGTCTAACGCCTAGAATTTTTTGTTAAAAATTTACAAATATTTTCATTCTAATGAATGTAAAATAAGCTTTGTTGTTTGTATTTCCTACTAATTTTTAACCTAATTGTTTTTATAATTACCGCCCGATAGTCCGGAATTTTCGACAGTCCGACACAGGGCTCAATCTAACAATAAGAGCAAGTAATTCTACTGTATTATAATAAATCTAAATTTCTTAAGTTATCATTATGAGTTTTTATAATCTACTATATTTCTAATGCACAAAATAATACTAATAATATTTACAATTAAAGATTATAGATATTGACCCTTACTGGGTCCCTTCGACGGAGGAGGAGTACCTTCATTTTGGCGAAAAAGCCGACAGCGCAAATAGAGCAAGAACTTACATGGACGCTGTTCGCAGGAGGAAAGGGCTGGCAGTCGAAGAAAAATTGGTAGAGTTTGCTGAAAAACAACGAACACTATCCAAGAAGAAGTAGTTATTGTCTAACTTAAATTATAACGTTATTGATTATTATTTTATTACTCGTAATCATTGCCTTATTGGATTGTAAGTGTGTACCTTGTAATATTCTATTTCATAACTTCATAATATCAGTTTAGTTTCGAGGGACTCAAAAATGAATTTAAGTGAATTTAAAATTAACTCAATTTTAAATTTTCTATTATACATATTAACTATAACATATATGTAATACGTAACACTAATTTTTCGTGAATTATGGTATAAACGTTTTCTTTATCCCATGTATTGTTCAAAAAATATTTTTAAATATTACGTCGAAAAGGAAATAAATAAAATGAACTTCTTTAAACATATTTTTGTTTATAAGGCGAGTTAATAAAGAAGAGAACTGACAAAATTAGGAAGTCCTCAGAAGCAGATCCGATTTTGTTAATATTTTTTTCTTTTTTAAATATTATTATTTAAATATTATTTTTAGAAATCTTTCAGGGGGCGAAATAATCATTGTTATTGTTTAAATAATACATATACTATTTATGTGAAGAAATAAATTTTTCAGTGGTTTTCTTTGAATAAAAAAGTGATTCGTTCATTGATTTTCGTGGTAAGAATAATTTATCATAAAAGTTCAGTTGTCCAGCAACAGTTATACAGAAAATTTTTATGTTGAAAAAATATTTCCATCATATTAATTTATTATAATTATACTTATTATACTTATAACTTATATTAACTATTTTATTAAAAACAAAAGTACACTTTTTTTCAAGAGAATTACACAAAACTTGTTTTCTTACACAATACATACATATTGTTTAAACAATAAAAAAATAGTTCTCTGTTTGAAATATTTGTTTTGACTCGACTAGTAAGATTGCGAATGAAGTGAAAAAGTGGTATGTGGTGTTCGTGCGTAAAAAATTTATATATACATTTTTTCGGTTCAAATTTTCTAGTTGAAATATATTTAAAAAAATATTGGCATTCAAAACATTGCCAATGAAAAATCCGGGATAATCCGGTACAAAATACCTAAAACCGGGGCAAATATTGCTTCTAGAAAAAGCCGGGACGCAAAGCGGAAAATTGGGGCTGTCCCGGCCAATCCGGGACGTATGGTCACCTTATTACATGGATCTCATAGGTAAATTTTAAATAATTTTTTAAAAAATTTTATTAATAACCATCAATATTTGTGTATATATATAGTACACTATTTTATTAATTTTGCTTGTAAAACTCAAATTTTTTCATTATAGGAAATTCTAAGAATCCAGTGAACACCAAGGAATAATGAACAGAACATCATCAGTTTCAAGTAAGTTTTGCATCATTTTATTTATTGTTATAATTGTAATGCGCTAAATATGCAAATCATTATGTAATTTCCATCATTTGAAAACACTGCGCGACAAAAATGGCATTTATTGGCATCCTCGAACTTTATCTACTTAGGATTGAACGTTGATTTCAAATATACCTTCCGTTTTTCCGGAACAGCTCCAGTTTATGATTATTGCAGTTTAACGAATAAATAAGAGTTTTATCGGCTGTTTTTGGTATGGCTTCGACTCTAAGACGTTGTTTGCATAATACAGATAGTTTTTGTTACATCTGTGGTTAAAATGTTTTCGACAAATACCGGAAAGTCGAACTACGTAATGACATAGTATTTCAACCACTTTAAAACTGAATTACGAAACAAAGATAAAACATGGATTCTTCGTACTATAAAAAAAATATTATCTAGATGGAAACAGAAATGCTATAATTTCAATACCCCCTTCATTTAGAAAAAACCTCAGATACACCACGACCATTGTTTTTTCTGTAAGGTAAATATCAATGAAATAAATTCAGGAAATAGTTGCAAATGGCCATAAAAGACAACGTGTACTTACAATCAGCTACGCTACCCCTATCCATGCTAATTATGAACAACCTAGAACGTCAACAACTTCTGTTTACCATGTAATGGATGTGGAAACCAACGTTAAAAGCGAAGACAGGAATAAATGAAAACTGATATATTTGATGTAAGTAATTGATTTGAATTTAAAACCCGCACTCTACTTGAAAAATCTTGGAGATATTAGCAAAGAGCAGAGCGAGAGTATCCACCAAGACATCAGGACTTTGGAGGAGCGATATCAAGGAAGGTGGGACTTCCACAGGATGGGTGACAAATGTTGGAGCTTATGACGAAATCAGTCAGGCCTTGCCCACGCTCCAAAATTATATAATAAAGCTTTTGAAGGCGTAAAATAAAATATGTTGATTATTTTATTGTAATTTGAGGTAAAACTGGAACATTGGCATATCTCAAAAACTAGAGCGATTAGCAAATTTCTGTTACTGTTTTTGGAATCAGCGTCCTCGAATTACTTAACAATCATTATAACATCTCAGGAAAAAAAAATAGTGTCGTGCAGTTTCATTATAAACATTAAATAAAGCGAGGCTGCTGCAAGGGATTCGAATATGTACCAAAACAGTCAATTTGATATCATGAAATTAGATTGTTAGAAAAATAATGAGGGCTAGCATTTTTAAAAAAAACGGGGGGTGCAGTACAAAAAGGTTGGGTACCACTGAGCACTTTCATATAGGACGTAGTTCTTGCGTTCTTGCTTCGTGATTGGTCCACGTGCCGCCGGTTGACGTGTAAACTGTCAAACACAACTGTCACTCAGTAAATCTGAAATCAGTACTGCTTTATAAATATTGTTTCAATTGAATGTCGATTAATGTATAGATTTTGTATGTTAAAAAGTAAAATGAAGTGTTTTCTGATACTCCTGTTTTGTGGAATAACACTCGGAAAAGATGCAACAAACTCTTCTACGTTCATTGCTACGAATGAATGGCAAGTTGTAAAAGAAGGTTAGGAATAATTCAAATGTATATATTATGTTCAATATAGACTTATTCAATATTTTATTTATTATACATATATATATATATATATATATATATATATATATATATATATATATATATATGTGTGTGTTTCCCAATATAAAGCTCACATAAATCCGAATAACAATAGAATTCTTGTGCTTGTATTTCTAAAAAATCATTTAATATTTATTATTGTATTCATTTTTTTTAAATTTGATACTTCTCATGCTGCTACAGAATGATTTTCTAAAAGCATATTTATTTAAAGGCCAAGTGATTCCACAAGGTTTGCATATTCGAATAAACCTCAGTACAGGATTAAAGGAAGCAAAACTACTTGTTGAGAATAAATCAAATGCTTTATCAATCACCAAAAATGAAAATATTGAGAATGAATCTAAATTTAATAACCAAGAATTGAAAGAAGCTTTGCAGAATATAAAAAATGAGAATCCATCACACGATGATAAATTAAAACAGAAATTTCGAACAATGGAAGAACTGAAAGACCTAATGAAAAATAACAATGTACAGGTTAAAACTGAGTCAGAAATTATTATTAAATTACTTCAGGAGTATAAAGATTTAGAAGTTATAACAGATGTAAACATCGATAAAGCTTTGTCAATACTTCAAGATCTGGAATATCTTGTTCATAAATTTGATAATGGACTGGAGTTCTTAAAGCATGGAGGTATAGAGTTAATCGTAATACCAAATTTGGACAATATCACAGATGAAATCACCATGCAAACACTGGAACTTGTAGCAGCTTGTATGCAAAACAATAAAAAAGTTCAACAGTTAATTTTTGAATATGGAATAGGAGAAAAAATCTTGAAACTTGTAGAACATGGTTCAAATGGCATTAAAAATAAAGCATTATATACTTTAGGTTGTCTTGTAAGAGATTTTCCGCATGCGCAACAAAAACTTGTAATCGAAGTCGGCAGTTCAATTTTAAGAAAAGTTCTGAATGATTTTGATGAACATGATATGAAAGTAAAGCTGCGGTTAATCACTTTATTACAAGATTTAAGCGATGAGAATGCTTCTTCTGTAAATCTAGCTGATTTATTAAAGACAGTTGACTATTGCAGAAATATTGAACAGCTTATTGTTAACAGTAAAAATTATTTTTTGGGAAACCATGACAATATTGAAAAATTGTTAAAAGCTCTGGATGGATCTCGGAATTTTTGTCAAAATAAAATGCCACTTACAAATTCATTTAAAAGTTCTTTGCATGACTTATCAATCTTTTATTCAAATCTAGCTGATGAAGAAAAAACAGATAGCGATCATAATGAAGGTTATTTTACTGAAATATCAAATTTAATTGATTCTTTAGCAAATAATTTTAAAATCAGTGAAAAGCAGGAACTTTAACATTTTTAGATTTTGTTCTTTAATCACTTTTAATAGCAATATCCATGCTATTTGTATATAATAGTAAAATTTGAAACAAAACTGTGATACTAAATAATTTTATCATTTAATAAAAACGTGAACAACGAATAGATAAGGTTGCTCATTTATGAAGTCATTTAAATGTTGTAGGTATATAAATATTGTTTATTATATAATAGTGTAAAATGAATTATAAATATTTTTAATTAATTAATTATTAGTTTAGTTCATATAATTAATTATTGTGAATGCATTTTTTCATTTGGATTACTTCATAATAAAGTTACAATTTATGTAAATAATGTTTTCTACCTATTTTAAAAAATCTAGAAAGGGCACGAAGATTGTGCAATACTTATATGAGGCTATTTCATGTAATAGATTCAAGACCACTCCGATTCAACCTTTAATCAAATTTGTTGAAATGAATTTTATCGACTAATATCTTCTTACCCTCTTTATATTATCAAATTATAGTTTTGCATTTCGGTCTAGCTGAGCAAGACCAAGGGTGAAATTTGAGTGAAATTATGAAAATTGAGACTTAATTTTTTTTTCAGAAAATAATATATTTTATTTATATGATCTAAATGCAATGTACAAATGTGTATATCAATTTGATTTATACACAACTAAAGTTGAGATAATTATATGTATGTGTATATATATATATATAATATGTATATTATATATATATATATATATATATATATATATATATATATATATATATAGATTTGTTGACGTTGATACATATTTGAACTATTTTGCAGCCTAATGGTCAAATTAGAAGAATGTTAATAAGACAAATGAATTAAACGTTTTGAAACTTAATGTGTGTCACCATTCAGTAATCAAACCAGGAAAAATACAAAAACATAAAATGTATTAAAAACACTATAATTGTGCTACATAATTAATAGATATTTAATATACATCAAAGAATAAAACAAAGATTTATAAATATTATACTATTTAAATATTATACTTAGACAGTGTACAAATCCTCAAGGAAATTGTTTCCTACTAAAATATTTTAAAAATAATTGAATTCTAAATTTGTTGAAATTTCGCGCCATTGAAAATTCATAGCTTAACATTTAGGTTGCCAACCAATGAAAAAGGAGTTGCCAGATGCCTATAATTGCGCAATATTTGTACAGATGCACCAACAGTATAAGCATAAGTATTGTTTATATGTTAGTTCTTTTTTGATATACCTGCATTTTCACTGTGTTGTTGGCGATACGTTTTATTTTCCATTACATTTGACAGACTTGCAATTCGGGTCACTCACGAATTGCTAAGTTTTTCATTTATTTTCGCTGGTCGTTCTTCAAAAAATTATAGTCTTCGTGTTTTAGGTAAGTTAAAGATTTACTTGAGAGCTTTTGTTATACAAAAGATAATAATTGATTTGTTTTATTACAGGATTTAAACACACGGCAAGACATATTGTAGAACGCCAGCGAATTTGGGTTATAGTTCACTCATCAAAGTAAGCGTATCCAACAAACAAAAGTAATCTCAAATTAAGCGATTTAAAAATAATATCTGTATTTTAGAATGGCTAACATCACAAAAAATCGTAAAAACATCGAGCCACCACGGCCTTTGAAATCAGCTCAAAAATCTACTATGAGCACACAGGATAATCAAGTGACAGGTAATGGTATGCAAGTCATTCTAGTACTATTTATTCTAATGCTATTTATTTTTCATTAGATGAATATCTTATATCATTTGCTGAAACACTATCGAACACTATATTAACGAATCCTACGGATCAAAGTTCACTTTGTGAGTTGATGTGGCTGAGTAATCAACTAAAGTTGCGTGGCCCCATATTAGAAGTGAATTATGGAGATTCTCTGGATAAAATATTTTTTATGTTTCGAAACGTATTACAATTCGATAATCTGAATTATAATATTCGCTTGCCTTTATTGCAATTGGTAGAATTAAGAGCAAACCGATGGAAATGTACAGATGGAGTTAATTCTTATTATCGGCCTAAAGTTTCAAAAATTCAAGAGGTAAGATGTATTATTAGTAGTCATAATCCATTTTATAGCTTCTGTCAAAGTAGTCACATTTTTACTAATGAGTTTCAAAAACCTGGTGTATGTAATTCTTTTTATTATTTAATGAATGCTATAATATATTATACATTATGTTTTACCCTATTGTCATAAAATATTGTTATATGACACGAATTAATCTATTTTTAACCTACTGACACAACACAATAGTTGGAAGTTTTCAAGTTTTTAGATATAAATTATTCTATGTAAATCTTCTATATTTTTCTGAAAATATAACTAAAGTAAATAAAATTTATAGTTTCACCTAATATTTTGTTTGAAGTACAATTTTAGCTGAAAGTGCATGTTAAATGACGAACTTGTTTATACTACTAATTTATATAATACGAATGTCCAAGAAACATAAGCATAGATAAGAGAAATAAATTAAATATAGAAAGATTCATTAAATGATTTTAAGTGCCTCTAAACAGATTGTAAAATTTTATTAATGCTTTATCTTTTGCTACTGTAATTACCTATATCTAATCAAATAATTTAAATGTGACATTCTGCTTAAGTTAAATCAGGAATTTAATATTTATGCTTATTGTTATAGTTATTAATATTTATTAAAATATATATCTGTTTAATTCAGACATCACCTATAGAGCCAGTAATTCTCAGTACTTCACCAGAACCATTTAGCAATATAGCTCCTGGTCAGCAATTATTAGAACAAGGTGAAGTAGTACGAGCTTCTGGAAAATATAATAAACCCACAAAGATACAGGGCAAGAATTATTTTAAAGATGAAGTTGTAATAAGAAATGCAGATTCGGGAAAAGGTAAATTGATTTATATTAAATGTTTTGTTTTAACTTCATTTTTATCTACAAATTCTCATTATAATTTTTGATGAATTATCATCATAATTATTATTAATTTATTTGATTACAATTAGTTTTTTTTTATGCATATGGGGTATTATATAATCTGACAATAAGCAAATTATGTGACATGATATAAAATAGAAAGTATTTATAAAATTGTTTGTGCTATTTTCTCAAGGTGCCACATAGTTTCTATAATTGTTTGTAGGCTTGTATTCTATTAGTTACGATCTGTTTATCTATCCTTGGATATTTTTGTTTAATTATTTCTATTTACTATTTGTCCTTGTTACTATATTTTACTTGGGTATATTTCTCTAATTAAGAAGCTGTTGTTTTATTTGATGAAAGATATATTCGAAATTATATAACTTACGAATAATGAATTTAGTGTGTGAATTATTTTGTAGTAATGGGAATCAAAGGGAGAAGAGTCCATATGATTGAAGAATTAAGTGAGACGATAATTTCCTTTCAAAGAGGTAATTTTGATGTGGTGTTAACGCAAGGAATTCAGCATTTACTAATTGCTTGTTTTAATTAATTATATTTTATGTAACATTTATTTTCATCTGTATATTTTCATATATTTATTACATTTTTGAATAAATGTAATTGAGGATTATAATATAGTTTTGCAATGACATTAATACTTGCATCTTATTTAAATAGGTTTATTATTTGGTTTAAACGTTTGTAATCAACTACTATTCTTAAAACATCATATCATTTAATTGCATGTGGTGGTAGTTAATTTTATGATGAGTCATAATAAAAAATAAAAATAGAAGCAGATTTGATGGGAATGAGCAGAATGCCAGCGCTAACATTAACTGTTATTCTTAAATATTTCCTTTTTTATAATTCTAAATAAGAAATTGTGCAATTCTTTTGCAGTTAATCCAGGAGCGAAAGAAAGACTAGTCCAGATTACAGGACCATCAGAGGAAAAAATTAAGTGAGTTGTTATAATATATATATATATATATATATATATATATATATATATATATATAACTATATTAATTTCAATAATATTTATATCTTCTGCTGGGTTTGAATAAATATATATTTTTTTTAAGAATGTAGTTAATTACAATTTTTGTAGCTATGGCAAGCAATTGATAGAAGAAACGATTCGCCGCAATGCATCTCCTGTCCGATCACCTGAATGTATTGCACTACTTGGAGGCGGTGATTATGAACCTGATCCGGATGTAAGAAATTCCATTATGGCTAATCAGGATGACAATACTTATGAATATTCACGAAATCGTTCTGCTAGTGAATGTGCACCTGAGGAATTTAAATACTCTGTTATTATCGGAAATGAAGTTATCAAAATCACAGGAACATGTCTCAATTATGTTACTGTAAGTTTTTTTTTTTTTTTGATAAATCAGGAAAAATATGTGAATATGATAAAAGTATAAAAGTAATAGCCTTACTAGGAAAGTAGTAGTTGATGTTCAGATAGATTTTAATACTATTTTTTTTTTTGACATTTTTTTTATTTTAATCTGTTATTTATAAAAATCAATCATAATGAATACAAATGTATTTTATATTATAGGCTGCCAAATTAGAGCTGGATAAATTCTTTTCTAATACATATTTTGAAACTGCAAATAAAAATAATGTAGAAAATGGCGAAGTTTTCCTTACTGCCAAATCTGATATGATAGATGAAATTACTGATGGCTTTGGTAAGTTTTCTTATATACATTTTTTTTCTGATAATGTTTATGTTAATGAATGGAAATTCAGGGGTCTAAATTCAAAAATTATTACTAGTTGTAAGTAGCATTTTATTTCAACACAACTTGCATGAACTTCCTGTTATGTATACATTATCAACTTAATCAATGAAAATTGAGATTCAACTATTTACATGAAATATTTATAAACAAATAATTAATAGGATTTCCAATTAATGTCTTTTAAACATAATTACAATACATGCAGTTGTTAAATTAAGTTATTTAGCATATTTTTTTTAATTTATTTTGTGTTATAAAAGTGTATTTTATCAAAGTGTGGTCGTCAACTGTAATCAATAAGTACGACGAAACGCCATAGAACTTACATATGCCATAGATTCTGATTAGAATCGCTAAAGCTCACTGCGAAATTTTATACTTCGATGAATTTTTATAACTCAACCACTTATTGTAGGTCTACAATATTTGAATGTTATTTCAGACTACAAAATTCATTGATTTACCAAAAGTCTTGTTTTATCAAGATTATTATAAAAAGAAATTCCACATTACGAAGAAACGGCCCGGTCGATCTTTACCAAAAACTAATAATCGCGTTTTCCAGCTTATATCTTCTTTCGAAATCTTTTGAATTTAATCAATCAGGCTCGGCTGATTGTGATAAACGTTAATCCTTATTCATCTGCATTGAATGGTTTTGAAATTTTTTAAATCAGTCTAGCCGTTTTGGGAAAACGCAATTCAGTTTATATAATTTTTATAAATATTAGACAATGTTACAATATTTATAATAATCTATTTGAAAACATTTCAAATTCCTACAGTAAGCTCAGTTCCAGCAATTTGCCTTAAGGCACGATGCCATACACCACTAGTTTTTCATTTTGTTTTGTTGGAAATAAATGTACTCACGTTAGTTTTCTCTGTATTTATTATTTTGTTTTCCGTTAGCCACGGTGTATGGGACTTTAAATCACCGTTTATTTTTTGTTCCAGTTAGGATGTTAATATGAATCAAATATAATAGTGGTTCTAGAACAGTTCCTTGTGGTATTCCGCTTGTTAAGGCGCGAAGCTTAAAAAGTGACTTCGACGTCTAACTGGGTGTTGTCGATTTATTTATCCTAACCACTACACTTTTAAATTTGTTCTATAATTGAACTCTTGGTGTGATCGGTGATTATTTAAATAAAATGCGACGTTTGATATTAATATGTTTATTATAAAAAAATATGATGAATATAATGGCATCAAATGTTTGGTGTTTCTATACTGAGCTCTAAACTTATACTAAATAAAAATTATTAAAAATTAACATTAACAATATTAGCCCCGCCCGTAAGAGGCTGGTTACATTAATTTATAAATCTGAGGGGAATGATTTCTTAGACTTATTTCAAGTCATTTTGCAGACACATAAAAAACTATCGACGCGGATGTAGACGGTCCAGACACATAAATTAAGCTCAAAAATTAAAATATCTTATATTACTAGCATTTGTACTTTAAAGTGTGAAAGACATGCAGACGACGGTCCGCGTGGCCTGGCGACTGTCCGTCGTATCGAAATACGAGACGATGCGACATCCTTACAAAAAAAAAAACAGTTCAGGTTACCTCCATTGGGAAACCTTAACACCGCTTTTAACCATTTTCTTATCGGATTTTTTTTTTTGAAACATAGACTTTTCCTTGGTGAAGTTAAAAAGTGAAAGTTAGTTTTTTACCTCGATATATTTTTGATTTTGCAAAGATATTTCATAATTTAGTTGAAGCAAGAATCTCGTGGTTAAAATCATTTCGATACTCTAGATCAGCGGTTGGGAAACTTTTTAATCATTACCCCAAAATATTTTTGTCTAAGATGACATTACCCCTATGGCGAAGAGAGATTTCCCACATACTCCGGAGCGATTACAGTAATTTACCACATTTTCCCGACCACTGCTCTAGATAACTAGAACTAAATTGTAATATCATTTTATTAATAAACTTATTAATCAGTTTTAATTTTTTATGTAGGAAATGGATTTACTATTTCCGAAGAAGCGCCAAGCAAACCCATTGAAAGAAGAAAATATTTTCATAGAAAGTCCTCCGAGTTTAAAGACTATCCAGGTGAATAAATTACTTTTAAGTGAATTTGATTACACTATAACTGTTTATAAATTATATAATATTTGATAATCTCATACAATCTCTTGTGATGAAAATTATTGTACAGTCGGAAATAGACTATATTATGGACGTTATGTGTGTAAAATATATGAATTAAAATTGAAATTAATGACAAATCTATTTCAATACATTACATTAGGCGTTGAATTTTCATGATATTTTAAAATGCATATATACCATTTTTTTATTCTACTTAAATATGATGATTTTCAATATTATGATTTGAAGCACTTTGAAGTTTATAATTCTCAGTTATTGAATATATTATGTAGTTTGCATATGTTTCAATTATTACCTCGTTACTTTTCTTTGTGATCAGTATAAATAGTAACTTCTTCAAGAGTTATTTTATAATATAATTTGTTGTTACAGAACCAAGTGTCAATAATGGACTTCATAAATATAGTCATGAGACTTTAGTAAATCTTTCCAAAACTCCTCTCTCTCGAATTGCGCCTAAAAGTTTAGATGTGATGTCTCAAAACAATATTAATCGCGCAACTAAGGTAAACGTAGAAGAATTATTGAGAAAAACTGCTTATACCTTTGAAAATAACAACTATATTATTTCGCATTCAAATAACAATCAATACTAATATGGATCAAGGAAACTCTAGACTATTTTATTTTAATCGACAAGAAGAGTGAACAGCACATACTAATTTATCATTATCCACTTCATTTTTAACACATTTTTAAATTGAACTATCATTGATCATACTCTAACATAAAAATATTACATTTCTCAAATAACGATGCAAAAGACTTTTTTAGTCTTGTATAATACATATTTTGTCAACAAAAACTTATTACATTAACTGTGATCTTGGCAAATTCATAGTTGTTATTTTGTTAATAGAAAATGAATTTAATATTTATCATAATATTTCAATGAATATTTGATTATTGAAAATGAAAAATATTTTCAAGCGACTATTTCTATTTAACGAGAATTTAACAACAGACTTGTATTATAACTAAAATGCCAAAAGTTATAATTGTAACCAAAAAGTTATGAACTGTGATAGTTATATATAAAAGATTATATATTGTTTTATAAGTGTATTTATTTGTTCAATATTTTTCTTGAGGAACTAGAATGCTGTTGTCAAATTAAATTTGACTAACAAATCAATTTTCTATTCAAGGATTATATTGTTGCAATAAATCACTATAAAATCTAATATTTTCATATTCAAAATTGTTGGATATATATTTTCTGTTTCAAATGTTTATATTGTTTAAAATTGTTATTGATTTAAATGTATTGTAATTTATAAGATTAGTGATAAATACCCAAAGATATTAAAAGATGGATGTGATATTTTCATAGCTTGTATGATCTCAGTTTCACTTTTTATTTTATTTGCTTTGAAGAATTGTGCATCAATAAATTTTTACAACCAAACTAATCCTTTTATTCATTATCATAATTAATTAGATTTGCTTCATTATTTTAACACTATTACATGTACTAATGTTGTGCTATTATTAACAATATTCTTATTAGCATCTAACCTGTAAATAATATATGAAAAAACTAATTTGTGAATGTTTATTATTAAGTTTTAGAATTCTTATTTGTTTGTTTGTAGTAAAGTATTTTTGTTAATAATATTAAAGATAAAGTAAATATTATTAAAGATGTGCAACAATGCCAAATCTGTATGAAAAGATGTTGTACAAGGTGGAAGTTCTCCAACCCTTTTTGCATACTACATTGGCTTTTAAAACGTTAAGTCTTAACTCAAACGTTAACTCTTTCGCTTCGAGGCATAATAATAATAATAATAAATGATAGTCTGCCTGAAGGCAGGTCCATGGTGTGAGAGCCACCGCAAATAAATGATTCCCTTGCCCTTCAACCCATTACCACTATTCCCCCTCCCCTTGTTTTTACTTCATGTATTTTTCTTTCCAAAGTTCTGCTTCCATGCTTCTTGATCCTGTGCTTCGGCTTTCAGTTCCCTGTATTTTCTCTTCTCGCGTAAGTCGTCAATCGTCTGCATTCTTCTTCTTCCCATTTCTTTTGTTCCTTCTATTTTACCCTCGACGACGTCGTGCAGGAGGCACTCTTTTTGCAAAAGAGGTCCGATCCAGTTTCCTTTTCTTCTCAGAATTGTGCTCAGTAGAGTCCTCTCTTCGCCCACTCTTCTCAGGACTTCTTCATTTGTTATTTTGTCTGTCCACTTTATCTTCTCCATTCGCCTCCAGCACCACATTTCAAAACTCTCGAGGTAGTTCTTATCGGCCTTTCTTAGAGTCCATGTCTCCAATTCGTACAGAGCTATGCTCCAGACGTAGCACTTTATTAATTCTCGATTTCCTACCGTTTATCCTCAGGGGATTATTTCTTTTTGTGATTCTCATCACTTTCGACTTGCCTATGTTGATTTTCGCATATTTAAAGATTTTTAATGATCAACCATTATTATTAATGATAATATATTTAAAAAACTATGATTAAAATAGAAATTTAGATACAGAGTAATAAATATTGAAGCAACGGTTGACCGATACGCTGAATGTCGTCTAAAGGCGACACTCGTACAAACAGGTCGTCAGGCTAATGTCGTCTAGAGGCGACAGTCGTAGCTAAGGGGTTAAACTTATTGTAATTATTATTTTTTCAATAAAATTTCAGACTGGTGAAACCTTTGATGCGGCTGCTTACTTCGCACAGGAGAAAGATTGCCCTCAAACTACAGTGATCAGTGCTTCAGATGTTAAAGCAGAATCTCCTGATCCAGAATAAATATATTTATGTATTGCTGAAGGGCAGTATTTTATATATAATATTAGCCAGCAATATACATGAAGTCGTTGGATGATTTTTATTATAATTAAAAATCATTCTTAGCAACATACGAATGAAACATCTATTTTTAGATTCACGTGTTATACAACTCGGAGATATATGAAACACTGGGTCATAAAACCTTAAAAAGCTTGAGTGAGTTTTTTTTTTACTCATTCAGAATTTATAAATATTACCTGTAGACAATGTTATTGAATTTTATTCTTTGTTTAAATTATAGTAATTTTCTTTCTTAATAATCAAAAAATGATTATATATTCATTGATTCTAAATAAGGTTTAAATAATAATGATCTTGTTTTATATTTCTCAGGTTGCTGAAATAATTAAAATACTCTACTCTAGTTTATTAAAGATATTTACGTACATTACTTCACCAATTTGAAAATATTTTAGGTAATTTTATGACGACTTTACCATTAAATTTTACTCAATGTACAATATATTAAACTTAAAAAGACTGCCTGAAACCTAAAACAACTATACACATATATAATGTAAAAATAACACGGTATAGTTCACTTTATAGGAAATTAATATTTATATAAAAATAATTACACTTGTGTAGCTATATCGGAGGTAACTAAACCAAACTAAATATAAGTGCTGTGCTTTATATAATTATAAACAATATTTGTTTATTAACACAAGTCTGGTGCATATACATATTTTTCTGTAGTATAAATTTTATATTTTGGGGAAATCTATGTGTAGCACTTTTATAGTATTTGTTTTTTCTGTGTTTATATATTTTATTTATATATTTTATTATAATTTATCGAATATTAAAGAATTAAATATTTATTTATCGACATATGTATTTTATTAAATAAAATATTATTTTTAGTAATACAAGCGAAAACTTTATTTTTGAAATAAACTGTTGAAAATTCCATCTACTTAAATATAGATAAATCTCAATTATTATCGATAAGGTGGTTACATATATAAAAAAAGAGTATATGTCACTCGACTAAGTTTTTCTTAAGGCAAAATGCCAATTGCAACTAGTTATTAAATTCCCGTAGGGTAAGTTATAGTAACGCAAAAAATCAATAATGATTTTTTTTATATCTTTACGTTTCAGAGGTTTTTGAACATTTTGGCATACCTTAGAAAAAGGATGTGTGTGTGTGTATGTGTGCGGATACAAATTTTCGTCGACTATTTGCGAATACGGATCAACCGATTTGAATAATTCAAAAAACATTCGATTCCTACTGATAAGGAGACGTGCTGAATAGTTTTTGGCAAAGGCAGGTCTAGCCGTTTCGGAGATACGGGACAAAAAGTGCCAAAAATGGTATTTCAGTTTTTGAGATAACGGAGCGTCCGATTTAAATAATTCAAAAAACATTTTAGTTGTATTGACGAAATGAACAACTGGTGAAATTTTTGTAAAGGCAGCCCAGCGTCTCGGGAGATCCAATTAAAAAAGTAAAAATCAATGCTATTTGGCGATCAAAAATGAACCTTAGACATATGTACATCGTATTATCAGGTATTTTATTAAGATTGTAATAATAAGTACAAATTTTGTGTACATTATGTGGGTTCCGTACCAATGTTTACACGTTAGACGTCTATGCGGCGCTCACGCGCTTTGATATTTCGACTCCAAATCATGATTAGCGCGATGGCTGTGCAGCGCGCGATAAAAAAAATGTTCAAAATTTTCAAAATAAATCAAAATATAAAGAAATCAAATTTTTCAAAAAAGTCCATTTTTTTCAAATATTCCAAAATTTCTTAAATTTTGGAATATTTCTAGCAATTTGCTTAAGGCACGATGTCATGCACCACTGTTAGGTAACTTCCCGAAGGAAAAGTTTGTTTTCTTAAAAAAATCCGGTTCGTTAATTTTATGTTTTCTCGACGTTTCAAGTCATTCTGAATCGATTGAGACCAAATTTGGAAAAAGTATGGATGTGTGTTTGTAAATATGTGTGTATGTGTATGTAAACAGATTTTTTGCCGTAAATCGACGTTTTCTCAAGAACGGCTGGACCGATTTCAATAATTTAAAAGCCATTCGATGAGGACTAGCGTTTATCAGTTTTGCGCGATCAGCCAGGCCGTTTTTTTTAAATCGCAGAAATGTGAAAAAATTTTCTTCCACGTTTTAGTCCAATTCTGAACCGATTTTGAAAATTCAAAAACCGTTTGGAAGACATTGGTTGGGAATCGTGCTGATTAGTTTTTGGTAAAGATCGGTCGGGCCGTTTTCTTGTAATGAAGTTTAAAAAAAAATTCGACAACTTTTATGATTTTTTTTTTTTGACGGTAGATACCATAGTCTTATAGATCATACTAAAATATTACGGCCGTACGACAACTCGTTTTTTGATGTTATCAGCCTATTTGTTAAAAGTATAAATATATAATAATTATATATATAAACTATAATGTGAAAAGTATTTTAAACATTAGTAATAATGATTTATTTGAATTTCCTTAGTTGGTATATAACACCATCAGTTCAATACCAGTTTTTGCTGAACTAGGAAATGGAAACGGATGAGTCATTGTCCACTCAGACTTCTTGTTTACTATTCCATACTGTCATACTGTCATTCGAGTCCGCGCAGTGCACATGGTATGACGAAACGTCATCTGTCAAGCAACAAAAAGCGTTATCATTTTATTATTAGTGTTTAGAACGTTTTGAATTTGTGCTAGATAAATTATTTGACGCGCATTATTAAATTGTTGTGATGAAATTCAATTACTGAATAATCCCCTTATTAGTGATTTACTATCGATACAAAGTTTGTGCACGATGGACGAAGAAAGTCCAACTAATCCTATATTAGAACGCTGTGATGAAAATGTTTCTTGTGCAGATGTTGGGTGTTGTAATCCACAAAATCGATGCCATCGCTTTATTGCGTAATTTTTATGTGTCTTATGGGTTTTGGTAAGTGTAATTCAGTCTTCTGTAATACTAAGGTGTTAGTAAGTAAGGTTATAAATGATTGACTTTCACTTTTTGCCCTGCACTAGAATTTGAACCTTTTGTACACACTCTTTAAAAATGATAAAGACATGACTTTTAATAATTATACATATTCATTAAATATAATGATTGTAAACAGATGTATGTAATGACAATATTAAATTTATACATTATCTGAGTTTTGACCATACTTTGTTTCTTCTTATGCCTTCCCGTTTGAACATTTTGACTTACATTTATCTTAAATTTCTATTACATTATATATAGTTAAATAATCACCACTATAAATTTATATTGCAAATTTTGTATAGCATTTAATCTTAACTTAAGCACAATACAATCAACATGAAATTTTCATCTAAAACAAACAAGAACAAATAAAACCAGGTGAAACACTATATGAGTGCTATGAAATTATTCAAGTGGGCTTCCAAAAGAGATAAGGATGACCATAGAAGAGAATAAATTAAA